TTTTTGCCAAAATATATCAACTAAATAGTAACGTATCAATCGTTTAATTTTATTTTTAGCACCTCATTTAAGCGGAGTTTACATAATTCTTTTATACCAAAAAATAATAGTGACACTTAAAGAGAAAAAACTTAGACTTTTCTATTCGTTTTTTAAAGAATACCGAGCGCTACTTTATTCATCTTCTGTGAGCAGTCAAAAAGATACTTTTTATCTCAATGTTGAATAACTCGGTAAAAATAATTGCACAATGCTCAACAAGTATAAATTAAAGATAAATTCACTTTTTCGAAAACTGTTTTTTGTGTGCAGTTTTTCATGCCATGAAACTTTGCAGAGCTTTAAAAAATCTTGAGACGGATCTCCATTTATCTCCATGCAATTCTGTAAAAAAGCAGTCACATCGTTATCTAAATTACCGATCTGAAAAGTAAAGACATTAAGCTTTAAATGTTTTTTTTAATCATCTCGTTATTTTTTACAAAATTATATTCTTTAAAAAATTGTCTATTTTTGGAAAGCAGAATAAGCATAATCCTTTAATTTTTTGATGTAGTAGATGACTACTTTTCTTTCATGATCATCCAAAAGATGAAAATTCAAATTCACTAATAATTAAGTCAACTAAATGACCTCCTAAATAAATGTAAAGTTAGTATTGACATTAACAGGATTGAATTACTTAAGATAGCTGAAAAAATAGGTATGTTATCGATGATTCATTTCGATAATATATCGTGATAACTGAAGATATAATATATTTAACTAAAGATAAAATAAATAAAAAAAGTTTAAACGTGTCGTAAAACTCATTAAGGTCTGTTCGACGAGAATTATCAGTTCCACGAGAATCATACGTACGCGTATTAATGCGAGAAACGGGGGAGAAGATAATTCCATTGCGGAAAAGCCAACGTCGTTCTTTCAGTAATGAAGGATGCAACAGATACACGAGATGACTCGCTGACTGATAAGAAATTACACATCCGAGAGTAAATGCAAAACCTGAAAAGCCAACGTCGTTCGCGTGCTTAAGAATTTATTTAAATAACACGATATTCGCCTTACTGTGAGAGATCTATTTCAGAAATAACATTATAACGCAATTATACGCGATTAATATTAGCAACACGATAAGCTGCATGTTAAGAGATATAACACTGTAAAACGTTGGGAAATGTTGAGAACATTTTCTTTAATTTTCCTATCTTTTTTAGAGTCACGCTTGCGTACTTACTAAAGCTCTATATTTATAAGAGTACGTAGCACATTGCTTTTATTTCGAAGCATGCCAACAACCGCATTTTCTTATTGGCTACTTTCTCTCCGCGTTTTCCTAAGCTATGTTCAGATTTCCACCCAAATGCCACCCAAGTGTCATTTTATCCTTATTGCTCATCGAATGTTAAACAAGGATAACTTGATACTTAAGGAACACTGGAGTGGAAATCTGATTCGCCCTTATTTGCTATTTTTTATTTTTTATCTAACTGATCTATCGTCCAATAAACGCTTAGTAATTCTTTAACATAGTTAAGTAAAACATTGCGGTCATCTGCGTTATTCTTATAAATATAAAGCTCTTCTGTGTACTCTTTAAAACATAAAAATTGCATGTAAATAGTTTCTTATAATATCAACATTAGCAAACCACTAATAATGGTCTTTAAGGGACCGATTTTGTAACTCTTATCGACAGTCGACGTTGATGTCGTTGCGCAGCTTTTTTACTCTACATAACATCTGCGACATCAACGACTGTCGTTAAGAGTTACAGAATCGGCCTCTTAATTTCATTTTATACAAAAAGTAATATGAGCTATACATACATATATGTAGTTATACGATTATTTATTCTCTCATAGAATCATATAATACTTTATATGATTCTTTTATTGTTACTTTTGTAGTTATATGATTATTCATAATAGATGTGACTCACTTTTTCGTTGGGTCTACGAAATACGATACGACGGCCTTATCGCATGTGCTAGTAAATTATGCGCGCGCACTCTTTCATGTTGATAATTATACTGGTATAATCATACGGGAGCAATCACTCGATCATAACGAATCGTTTTTAATAAGACCTAGTAAACTAGACGATACTCTGTTGCATGCGTCGTGATATGCGTGACGGTAACTCGATAATTTGCATATAAACCGAGGACACTCGTAACGTGAAAAATCGTTAAACGAGTAAATCTATTGCAATTAAATAAACCATTTGCTACACTGTTAAATCTATTATGTCAAATTTAACCTAATTTAAGTCATCACTGCTACTATTCAATATATCGTTATTTTATGCTTAAAACAATTTGACACTATTATAGTGTCAAATTTAACACTATAAATTTAGATTAAATTTAACACTATAAATTTAACAGTAATAGTGTAAATATATTTCATAGAAAATCAAGTATAATTTGAATTAAAATTAAAAATAAATAAAATTTATTTAGAGTATTGTGTATAAGATTAAATCGTTTCAAAAATTGCATTCTCGAGAGTGACAACAGTCGTGATCACTTCGCATTGTCAAGATATTACTGCAAAAGATTGTATAAAGAAAAATGTTAAGATTATGGCGCAAAAAAATGTAAAGTAGTAAAATGTAAGTAGTAAGCAAATTGACCAATCAAGATAGAGACGTAAGACAATAAATAGCAGTAGTATCAAATCCAAAAAGTTGATTTGCGTCTAATTCTGGATTGAGCATTATAGAGAACGTAACATTATATTGTAATTGGCCAATTCGCTTACTACTTACGTCTTATTGCTTTACGTTTTTCTATATGTTTCTGGCTTCATTGTTTGCGTCTTACTGCTTATGTTTTTGTATATTAAAGCCTTTATTCATCTATTTAAAATTAATCATTTTAATTAAAAAAAAAGGAAAAAGAAATGCCACATTAACATCATTTTTCACAGCTGTCATAAAATCAGGATATTTTTAGTTTTGCAGTTGGCAATTCTGAAATTTAATCAGCCGATTAAGTTAAGAAGCTTAAAAAAGTAGAGAGGAGTCACATGACTTTTCTTATCTTTACACGAGAGCACAAAATACTATCGCCATTTTCTAAAGAATAAATAATAAATAAAATTTAAGCAGTGAAATAATTTGTTATTGAAAAATATTTTCTTTGTAAAAAAAAAGAAATATTTATGTAGAAAATGTTAAAGAAAAATTATTTATAGTAATTATTTAAATTTAATTTAGATATTGATAATTCTGGTACAAATGATGTTTTACTGATGTAACGTTATATTTAAAAAGAATTGAGTAATTCATGAATATTTTATACTCTTACACGAAAATGATTAAAAATAAAATTTAATTTTTTAATTCTAAAATATTCTTAAGCTCTATTCTTTTATCTATATAACTTTTAAAAATGCTTATATTTTGTTTACAATTAAATTACTTAATAATCCTTCTTCATATGAATTTAAGCTATTTAAAAAAATTATTTAAGAAAACTATATGGTCAAAAAATTTGAAAAAATTCAAGAATGCTTTTATCAATTACAAGTTTATTCTCAATATTTGATCGAATCTTTATATTATATGAAAAGACTGAAGAACCTTAGAGTTGATCAGATCGTGCCATACACACCTATGTGAACTAAATGGAATTTTATTTTCGATACTCCCGCGCGATTAGAATCATCTGCGTACATACATCATAGATATACGCCGCGACCTTTCATCGATTCAACAGCACGTGCGTAATTCGCGCATATAACGCTGTTACATCACCTGCAGAGCAAGAATAAAAATCCGCGTATAGAGACTAAAAGCCGCGAGTTTTCCCTACATAAGACGATATCGCTATCGCCATCACGAGTCATCGTGTTGTAAAAATAGCGTGACATTTCATCGATCGTGTAACGTACTCGTAAAAATGTCGCGACTGTACCAACACGAAACAATGTGAAAAAATAGGTGAAATTCGATTTGAATTTCGATCTTTCGTTCGTCCATCCTACGTACGCGCCAAGTTCAGTACACTTCTATATCCGAAGATAACGTAGTATCAAACGAACCAACGTGCATGCAAGTATCGAATATGCAGACAGTCTCCGTTACATACGTCGGTATATTCATAATCTTAATGCGTGCATTGATCCAAATTATTTATCCGAATATCATGATGTAAGATATAACACTATTAAATCTATAGTGTCAAATTTAACCTAATTTGGTAAAAGCCATCACTGCTGCTAAATATATCGTTATTCTATACTAAAACAATGGTGTCAAATTTAACTATCTTATTAGTATAAAATAGTAATATATTTAGTAGGAGCAATGGTGACTTAAATTAGGTAAAATTTGACACTACAAAGTTAACAGTAGATAAATGTACCAGTAGATAATTAGTGGATATAATCCAATTATTGGACAAAATGAAAAATTCTTAATATTAAGCTATTAACGATAATACCCTAAATAAATTCGTTATTTATAAAAATTTAATAAGACGAATTTATTTAGAGTCACTACATATCATTAAAAGTTTAATATTTAAAATTATCATTTTGTCCAATAATCGAGTTATGTCCACTAACTGATTTGTTTACCTTATAAGTGAAATGAAAACATCTAATAAAACTGCCATAGCATAATTCATATTTTTAATTTTACGCCATATCGTTGAAACCGTCGTACCCAATCACTGTGGAGACGACAATTTTATCTAAAATGTGATAAGAATATGTGCTTTAATTATCCGGCACAAACACGCTTTCGACGTTATCAATTACAGTCCGTGGTTTTAACACTTTAGAATGACAATATGAAAAGTCCTTTTTGCAACTCTTTCTTCAAAATATTATCGTATTTTGTTGCTTCAACGCACCCGCTCTTGTCGGTCAGAGATAAAGTGTCATGTACAGAAATCAAATTCTGTAGATAATTTTATGTTGCAGTCTATCTTCATACGTCCTGAAAACATGAACAGTGCAAGTAAGTGGAAAGATCGAAAATTACTCACCGATCGATCTTGTCCATTGTGGTAGGATGTTGCAAGATGGTTTGCTGCTCCGTCATCTCGACGACACATTGTGTACAGAGTTCCAGTTCTGCAATGAGAAAAAAAAATTAATCGGGATAAAAATGATTCAGGTTATTTGCGTTATCTCTGCGTATATTCATGTTAGATCAAATCAAGTATAATATATTACTTCACATTCTTTTTATCGTTATTGCGTATTCAAATAATATAGCCATATCGACTGATAATTATTTAAATATTACGCAAGAGCCAGTCGCGAATCACGTAGTGAAAACAAATGTTTGGTTGAATTAATTAAAATTTTCTAGTTAAATATATAAAAATTTTAGTTGAATGGAATTCTGATTGGTATAATCAGAATCTTCTGGTTCGTTCATTTTCAATCAGACATTTTTTTCAATGCGAATATTCTGTATTTACATAATTATGTCTTTCTCATTGTTAAAAAATTTGATGAAATTGAACAAGGTTTTATTAAATGCGACAACGCAGCAAGAACTTGCGCAACTTTTGATCAACTGTAGAACGTGTCGTCGCATACGTAGCGCAATAAGATACTCAGCGTAATAAGACGATCGCTCAATAGTTACCAAGTTTTAGTAATAAGATGAGCTTACGCTATTATAAATCATGATTATACGTTGCACCAAAGTCGGATAATTTGATATTCAATGTGAAAAGGCAGAAATATGTTTGGAAGAAGGCGTTGATGGTTTAAAAATTAAGTATAAAATAAATAAAAATTAAGAAGAGATAGGATGATATCAATTGTCTTTACGAACTTTAGTATCAAAAGGAAAAAAGAAGAAAATATAGCAGATATGCTAGATCGATCTTTGATATAATTTAATAGAATTAAATGAGTTCGCCACTTTGATAGCGTTTCTACAATTTCCATCTACATTGAAAAAAATTTTAACACATATTCCTTTTACCAAGTAAACATTTACTTATAGTAACTAAATATTTATTCAATAAAAAAGTTAGTTAAATCAAATTAACGGTTTTTGTATGAAATAAACATATGTTTACATTTAGTAAATATTTATTTAGAACTATTCAAACAAATATCTATTAATTTTTTTTTTCAGTGTATGGTCAAAACTCCATTACTTTTTTTCTATATCATAAATGAAACTAACAATAAATTAATTTAGCTGCACGATTTCTTATTAACATAAAAATACGAAACATGACAATTAAGGTTTATTTCTTTCAGTAAAATTGCTCTTTTTTGTTCTTATAAAAAGAAAATATTAAAAACATATATTGTGTATCTTAAACCCTCGAAGTAATAACCCTCAGTACTCGAAGAAATTTTAAAAGCAGATCTTTTTCTCGATAGTATTATAAGATAAACACTACACAAAAGAGAATTCGCAAAATCGATCCAAGTCGACAGGTATTAAATTAATAGACATAAAGGGTATGCAATTAATAGACGATCTTTTAGCAAGAATCTGTTTCTTATTTACTTGTATATGACTAGACTTTGCACTTTTGTGTGCACAGATATAAAAATAATCTTTACGAAGAACTTTTCTCGTTCATTTCAACTATAGGAACTTTACGTGTTGTCTGTACTTATTTTTAATAATACATAGTTAGTTACGATGAATATATTTTTCTCGCCTGATTATTCAACGATAAAAAAATGAGTACAAAGAATACCATATAATTTTTTAACAATTTTAACTCTGCTTAATTCTGCTCTACACAGTACTACCTGTATTTATTTGTAAAATGAAAACATTATAACTGGAATATAAAAATAAAAGCGCCATTATTCTCCTATTTCTCATCAAAATAGTTTAATCGGGTCAGTTTACTCAAGAGACCGTTTCTCTCTGTGCACTTTCTCCAATGAATTTCTTGCGCCCGCCATTTCGTATCGTTGCACTACTATCTTTGGCGAAATAAATCATTTATACGATATAGAGCGACTTATCGAAGGACGAATAGGGCCAAGAATGAGGGCAATATTATTCGGATTACGTTCTCGCGTAACCTTTGCGCTATCTTGATAATACGAAATCATTAAAGCCAGTTAAAGGCAGGGAAATGACCGGGACGGTAAATCTACGGTTAAGAAAGAAGTGATGATGACTCATAAAACTAGGTAGAAAGTAAATGGCTTCTTTGTATGCTCGAGCGTAGTCACGTAGAGCGTTACACCATGTTGTAACAAGTACATCGAACGTTTTAAGAAATGATATGCGGTAATAGAGTGCAATGCCATCCAAGTACAATCTATTCTTATTGTTAGATTTTACACATTTGGACGAAAATCTATCTTTAAATATCGTTCATAAATTATTATCTGTAATTACATCTCATATCGTTAAAATGACTCAAAAAATCGAAAGTGCAATGCACATGTTCGACTTTCTAAAAATACCAATTACATACTACTTATATTTCTCATGTATTATGCCAACGGCTTTCAACATCACTATTATTTTCAACGTAAAAGTAAAAGTTATATGTATATACTGAGAGAAAAAAATAGTTACAATTACCATAATTTAACTGTAATTTATCGTCATTTTTTAGGACAACTATATATTTATGAGTAAGAGAAATTCTTTTTCGGTCAAAGCGGAAGTGTGAATTTATACACTTCTTCTGCAAACACTACATCCTCTGCAAACTGTGCGCCGAAATTGTTTTCAATCTGGAAACGCAATCATAAATGAACAAAACTAGAATAGTATAATGAAAAAAATACTAAATTTTAATAATTCATTTATTTAAATAGTGCCAATTAAATGTTTATTAAGTATAAAAATATATTTATTTGGTACAAAAACCATTAATTTACATTTATTTTCTCTTTTTATTAAGTAAATTAAGTAAATATTTTTTTACTGTAAATTTCAGTTCGCACTATTCACAAATAAATATTTATTTAAATTTAGGATATTTTTCTCAGTGTAATATCACATATTAAATTTTTTATTAATGTCAAATTATTAATATTCTTATAAGACGCTCATTAGCATCAATATTATTAAATTGTTTGTCCATTTAATATGTGATATTACTAGTTCTGTTTATGATCGCATTTGAAAACTAAAAAGGCATCGAAGCGCGATTTACAGAATTGAATGTACATATAAATTCACACCAGAATATTTAAGTACTAAAAATTACTGTAAGATGCTTAAATATTTCTGCTTTAACCGAAAAATGAGATTTCTCTTAATAAATAGACTTATTCTCATCGGTCCAATATCGTATTATAATTATATGAGTATATATTTATAGTTGTTTTATCCATGCAAATATAGTCAATTGTGCTATTAATAATAATCACACACGCTGCTTGAAAATCTTTAGTTTTATCTTAACATATTTTTTAATTATTATTACCACATAAATAATAAACGAATTTAAGAAAATAGTTATATTTATTATAATTGCGATTGCATTTACTAAATAAAAATGTTTATCTCATTTATCATTTATATCTTGATATTTTAGTACATTAATATATTTGAAATTATCATAATTTATAGTGTAATTTTTTCATGTTTGAGAGAACTATATATATATATAAAGTTAAATTAATATTAGTAGTAATCATAAAAAATGGAACTCTTATTCATAATTATTTTACCCTGCAATTACAGTCATTAAACACAGTAAACACTTTTCTCTCTCAGTGTATACATATAGATAATAAGTTATTTATATGTTGCCACATTATTATAAAAATAATCGTAGGAAAAAAATAGTCGTGGAAAAGAAAGGAGAGACTAGGAAAAATTGTAAATTTCATTGATGGGTAACAAAAGCAAGTATCGGGCAACAAGTTATTGAATAACAAGAACCACGTCCGATTACGTCGAGCGTCGGGTCGTGTAAATTAAATCTTACAAGCGCGAAAGTTTGACGATTAACACGTGGGAAAAAGAGAGGGAAAAATTACGTAACCCTACGATAGAATCGCGTTACTCCGTTTTCGTTCCAGCACCTCGCCGTCACTCACCACTCGCGTTAAAGTCAACACTAAAAGACTTGACAGGGACGGGAGCATGTGCATTGTGCAGGTGTTACGCAGGTGACACGATGACGCCAGCTTACGTTATCGTATACGAGCATGTCATTATTCTGGATAATAATAAAATAATATGATACACGAGAGTCGATGAACGCGCACACAACACATAATCACGTCTCAATGTAACACATGCTATGCATACATGCAATTTAAAGATCTGATTGTGAATCCAACGTTCGCGACGTCGTGTAAGTCGCGATATATGGTACGATAATTTAATGACAATTGAAAAATCACTTCCCCAGTCACTTCGACGTCTTTAACCAGAGATACGCAATTTCTCGACCTTGCTCGATCGGGAAATTGGCCCTCGATCGAAGATATCCCGGAAAACATGTTTCCTCCGATTGGATCGATAATCCAAGGTCATCGGACTAATGTCACCGGAACGTGGCGTTTTTATTCGATTGCGTTCTCGCAATGCGATTCTCGCGTTTTCTCACGGCGCTTGACGCGTCGGCAGTGTCTGTTTCGCTTTTATTCTAAATTAAATCTCAATCTTAAGGATTTAACGACCAAAAAAAACATTTTTTTTCGCGCGCTCGAATAATCTTGTCGCGTCTCATCGTGAAGATAATATTCTCGCGACGTATTTTGACAATTGGCAATCTGGAGAAAGTCGTTTTTCTCAAGTCGTTCGGATCTCTTTGGATTTGACTGAAGGCTATGACACAAAAAAACTCCAGCAGCAAGAACCTCCATAAGCAGTAAACAAATCGAATTTTGGATCTGCTACAATTTACGTTTATTGTCTCACGGTTTCTATTGATTAATCGACTTACTTATATTTTAACGATTAAGCTCTTTTTTTGTGTGTAGTCTTAACTCGATCTCGCTGGATCTCGCACGAATCTTAAGGCTATAAACATACACAAAAATTTAAGCAATAAAACGTAAGCAAATCGACCAATCGCAGTAGAGATCACAAAATAATGTAAGGTGGAGATCCATTGTGTACCTTAAAATGAGGTG